AATTTTTTCATATGGTGAGCTAGTTTTCTCAACACAATGTATTTAACAAAGAATACCTTCTTCACTAATGAGTAGTTTTATCTTTCTTGTATATTAAGTTCCAGATTCTCATTCTGTCCCATTGATCTGTCTATCCACATACACTATCTCAGTATCTGGTAAGGTAAAGTCACCATCTTATTAATTGCTTTTTTTCTTGCCTTATTTCTGAACTTTAGGTAGAGGGGAAAAAAGTTCAAATAAAAACTTACAGATGAATATTCATAGCACCACTATCCACAACTGCCAAAAGGTGGAAACAACACAAATGTTCATCAGCTGATGAATGGAAAAACAAGATGTGGTATATCCACACAATGGAGTATTATCTAGCCATAAAAAGGAAAGTAGTACTGATAGATACAACATAGATAAAGCCTGACATATGCTATGTAAAAGAAAACAGATATGAAAAGCCACGTATTGTATGATTCGACTTATAGGAATATCCAGAATAGACAAATACATAGAAGGCAGATCACTGAGTACAGGGTCTGTTGGGAGGGAAAAATACAGAGCAACTGTTTAATGAGTATAAGATTTCTTTTTGGAGTGATGAAATGTTCTGGGATAAAATAGTGGCAGTGGGCTAGGTGTGGTGGCACACAACTATCATCCCAGCACTTGGGAGGCTGAGGCAGGAAGACTGCCACAAGTTCGAGGCCAACATGGGTTACATAGTGAGTTCAAGGCCACCCCGGACCACACAACAAGACTCTGTCTCAAAAACAAGGGCCAGGGATTTAGTTCAGTGGTTCCACCACCTGCCTCACAAGTGCAAGGTCCTGAGTTCAATCCCCAGTACCAGAAAAAAAAAAAAAAAAAAGATAGTGGCAGTGGTTATACAAAACTGTAAGTGTACTAAAAGACACTGAATTATATACTTTAAAATGGTGAACTTTGTTATGAGAAATTCACCTTAATAAAAATAAATTCTATTTCTCTTCTACACAAAGTACCTGAAGATAGGACTACTTTTACATTTCTGAGCTTTTCTTCTTAGCAGTAGGAGCAACAGGTTACTACTATCAGCTTTAGAGTCTACAAAACACTTTGCCATACAATCTTTTTTTCTTTTTGGTACCGGGGATTGAACTCGGGTCCTTGCACTTGCAAGGCAGGCAGCGGCAGAACCACTGAGCTAAATCCCCAGCTGCCATACAATCTTAAACAATTTTCACAGCACATGAGGTAGATATCATCAATCCACATTAAAGATAGGAAAAACTGAGGTTCAGAGATGTATAAAGCCCTATAGTAGAAAGTAGTCTTACTGCTGGTTAATATCAGCAGATTAACCTCCATTATTTTATATTGCCTCCAAGGAAAAAGCTCCAACTTATAATAAGTTTGAAAAAGACTAGGAGATGCAATTATACATAGGCCTCTTGGGCAATTTTTCTTCTTCCACATTTAGAACTTGGTATTCTATAGTGAGCATATCTTTTCACCAGTCAAGTTCAGCATGTTTACAGGGCGCAATAAGCAAAAGAAGACAGTGCATGCTCCTGTACAACTGCCTCATTAACTTACAGTCACATTTCCTATTAAGGATTAACTAGCAAATATCAGTAGTTTTCTAACGGTGCTCTACTGAGTACTACAGAGATTCTTGAGGAGAAAGCAAAGGAATTAGGGTTACCCAAAACCTCCTAACAAGTAGAACAGCCTCTTTCCAAACTGAGGAGTTATTCCTTAAGATACAGTTTAAAGATTTAAAGCTTTAAAAAAAGCAGTTAATGAACATCACTGTGGTACATATATGCATACTCACTTCTTCAGAGTACATCTGCAAAAATCTTTGAGGTTAACCAACATTATATAATTAAGAATGTTTCTAAATACAAGCATAGAAATACTTATATGTCTATCAACAGATGAATGGATAAAGAAAATGTGGTATTTATACACAATGGAGCACTACTCTACCATAAAGATAATTTTCTGTAGGAAAATGGATGCACCTTGAAACCATAACGTTAAGTGAAATATATCAGGCCCACAAGCTTAAGTATCTCATGGTTTCTCTTACATAAGAAACCCAAAATATACATAAAGAGTAAAATAAAAGATAAAAGGAAGTAGGGAGATAGATCTTTCTCAAATGGAAGGGGATCAAAAGATGGGGGGGGAGTGGAGAGAAAGGGGATTGAAAAAGGAATTAAGATGTGTTAAGGACACACACCAACTCCACACAGGAATGTAAGCATTGCATACCATGCACATGTACTAATAAAAATTTTTTTTAAAAATATGTGGAATAATAATTATGTGTGATTAAGGTTATGGGAACACAAAAACACCAAGAGACGAAATTGGAACAACTCATTGGCTAACAACTTATTAAAATTTTCAAAAATTTCTTAGAAAGTCTAATTGTATTATGTTGCCTTTTCACATTTAACAAACTTCAAAATAAAAAATCCCTCCAAAAAAAGGGAAAAAAAGAAAGAAATGCCAAGGGAGTTCTCACTCTATATGTGGTTTATGAGTTTTCTTATTTTTCCAGGCCCAATTACACTATCTTGGCCATCCCCAGTTAGTAAAGTAGGCACAATAACCACACATTGAGAAACAAGTATCTCATCTTAGATGACAGGGTTAAGAAAAGAAGGCCCAACCCAGACGGCATAGCCTGCTAGATGGTGACTAGTTTTAAAGGCTTAGGTGTCATATGGGCATTCCATACACTGTGTACCTTTGTCCCTGCTTGTACGCCATGCCAGCACTTGAACTGGCTACAGGCCAATGTTGTCTGGACAAAGTTTAACCTCTCTTCCTCCTAGGCTCCAGGCTATACCTTGGTTCCCCAGATGACAAACCATTTCCAGAGACAACATATGGCACAATTCACAATCTGAAATATGAAACAGAAGACCTGGGTTCAAATCTTAGTCTAACTTGTTGGTATGGCCAACACTCAAGCCATGAGAGTTGAAGTTCTGGCCTCAACTCATGCCTCAACCCTCTGGGCTTCAGTTCTTCAGTTAACATTGCGCTTACCTCATAGGCCAGTGGTGACAAACCTATGGCACGCATGCCACAGCAGGATGTATCACTGAAAACTCTAAAAAGTTTGCCATCATTGTCACAGGCTATTAAATGGATTAAATGAATACAGTAGTTCCTATCATGCAGGTTACAGACCCCTGGGCAAAGGTGACCATATTATAAGAAGTCTGAATAAGCATATACTAGATAAAAAGGACCATTTAGGGATTAGGACTGGAAGCTGTGGAGTAAAATTATATGGGTTCAAATAATAGCTTTATCACTTGAATAAATTACTTAGCCTTTCTGTCTCAGTTCCTCATTAGTAAGTGGAAAAAACAGAATCATATTGAGTTGCACTGAAGTTCTATATAACTACAGATACATCTATATATACATATATAGATGTCTTATATAGATGAGTACTGAAAATATTAAGAACCAAATAAATGTTAACTAATGTAACTATAATATGTATCTGTTATTCTTTCAAAGTACAGCTATAATTTTGTGGGTGTCCATTGTGCTTTTGTTTTTTTGTGTGTGTGTTTTTGTTTTAAAAGTTTATTATACTTGAAAAAGCAAAAAAACTTCTAAGATAATAGCTATAGAGGAATTTAGTACACTGCCTACCTTGTCCTAGAGCAGAGTAGTTAAGTCTGTGATTTCATTCTTATTAAATTTACTGAGGTTTTTATGGCCCTAAAATATAGTCTATCCTGCAGAATGCCCCATGTGTACTTGTGAAAAATATGTATTCTGCTGTTGCTTGGTAGAGTATTCTTTGTATGTTTGTTAAGCCTAATTGGTTTGTAGTATTAATCAAGTCCTCCACTACTTTAATGATCTTCTGTCTGGCTATCTATTATTGAAAGTGAGATACTAAAGTCTCTATTATTTGTAGGACTACTTTTATCTTAAATTCTGTATTTGCTTCACATATTTTGGAGCTCCTTTGTTAGCCACATATATAATTGTTACATCTTCTTGGTGTACTGAACTTCAATCAATACATACTATTCTTTGTCTCTTATAACCTTTTAAAATTTAAGTCTATAGCTACTCTACTTTTCTTTTCGTTGTCATTTACATGAAATATTTTTTGTGTACTTTCAATTCCTTTGGGTCTTTATATTTGAGGCTCTCTTACCCAGCTTATCAATGAATTAAGGGGAGGAGTTAAAATCCAATCTGCTAATCTGCTCTTTATTAGGATAATCTAACCAACTTATATTTGTATTTAATTACTGATAAGAATTTACTTGTTGGGCCGGGGATTTAGCTCAGTGATTCTGCCGCCTGCCTCTCAAGCGCAAGGTCCTGAGTTTGAGCCCCAGTACGAAAAAAAAAAAATAATAATAATAATTTACTTGTACCACTTAGCTATTTGTTTCTGTATGTCCGCTACTTTTCTCATTTCCTCTACTATAATTTTATTGGTTTTGTTTTTGTGGTAATATAGATTAGTGGGATCTACATCCTATTTGTAAGACTACTTATAGGTTTGGTTTTCCCAATCCAGCGATCTTCTCCCTTCCAACTGAACAGTTGTTTTTTTTTTTTTATACTGGGAATTGAATTCAGGGCTTCAAGCTTGCCAGGCAGGTGCTGTGCCACTGAGCTACATCCTCAGCTCCCAACTGAACAGTTTCTGATAAATATCTCCTTCATGAATCTGTTCCACAATTTTTAAATTTTTCTTTTCTGGCTATGAAAACAGTCTCGTGTTCTATCCTTATATTCATCCACTGAATAATTCACCATTTAGAAAGACAGACAGACAGACACACACACACACACACACACACACACACTTGCAGGTACCCCACAGACTATTCACCATACCACATGAAAAGTTAATTAGTTCATTGTTATTTCTCTGCCTACATGTGGCCCAGCATTAGGCTGGGCCCTGGAATACTTTGGGTCTCTTGGTAAGTGACAAAGAAGTGAGAGGCAAAGTGGCTTACATTGTAGGAACGGGGATGCCTCTGCTTCCACTGCACCAGGAGAAGCTGGGCCACCACCAAGGTCGCGATGAGGATGAGGACCATTTCAGCATGCATGGCTTCATGGCCACGATGTTTGGCATGCATGCGTGCATGCTCAACCCTGAAAGACAAACAGAAGGGGTGAGCCAAGTCAGGGATGGTGTGGTGGTAAAGAGGAAGTGTTTCCCCGGAACACCCTATCAATCTGTAGCTCAAAACATGCTCCTGTGCTTCCTAACTGAAGGGTACCATCCACGTAAATTAGGGGCTAGAAGGACACATGCCCTACATGACAGGCATCTGGGGACAGAATAGAGGCTCTATGGACACAGCAACAAAACTCTCCTATGGGGATTAGAGCTGGGTGGTCTGTTGCCTGACCTTCATGACAGAAATATCTAATGCCCTTCTTGTAGCAATGTCACCATCCATTTCAGTCCTATTTCAACCTGTCACTGGAAGAAGAAAGTAGTCCAGAGAGCTATGGCCATAAAGCCTTAGAATTGTAGTCTACAAGATTTACAACACCAATAAGGGGTAACACTGCAAATGTGTGCTGATCCCAGGGTTAAATTATTGCTTTATTCATCCTACCCTTTTTGCCAGGGCCAGAGATCTTAAAACTCGTTAAAAGCTGAAAAACCTGGACAGCTTCAACTTTATTCTAATACATCAGTGACTTCATCAGCATCCAGAAGTAAATACTGTAGTCTCCTCAAGGGCTCAAGGAAGTTCAGTAATTAGGCAATGTACTTGAAAACTTTTTATAAATCTAAGTCTGGGATTCTCTGGTTTTGAGGACTGGCAGCTAGTGGATTCACTTGACCAATACTGGCAAACTCTTCCCCGACCAGGGGGAATTACATCAGTGGTGCCACTGCCTGCCTTGAAAGTGCAAGCGCAAGGTCCCAAGTTCGATCCCTGGTACCAAAAAAAATCTTCCTCCAGGAACAGTCATCCTACCTCTCTGGGTCAGTCAGCCAAGGATGAAGAACAAGGAAGAAATTAGAGAGAAAACTGAATCTAAATGTAGCCGGCAGCCAGGAGCTTTTATACAAAGTCTTCACACACTAGAGCGGTGATGACAAACCTTTTAGAGCTTTCAATGATAACAAACAACCCGTTGTGGCACGTGTGCCATACATTCACCACCACTGCACTAGAGTAGCAGGGAGGAAAGGACAACATAAATGATGTCTTCATGGAATTGCTAAGGGCACAAGAGAATAACAGCAAAAGAACTCAGTGGAATAAATTATAAGTAGTTAAATGATAGAGCAAATACAGCAAAAAGTTAATTATAGAATATAGTGGTGAGTAAAAGTGTTCAATATACAATTCTTTTTAAGTTTTTTCTTTTAATTTTTTTATACAATTAAAATTTTTCATAATAAAATGTTAGGAGAGGGCCGGGGATTTAGCTCAGTGGTTCTGCCACCTGCCTTGCAAGCGCAAGGACCCGAGTTCGATCCCCGGTACTAAAAAAAAAAAATGTTAGGAGAGAAACTTGGTGGGCAAAGCAAATAGCCAAACACCAATCAGTTAGCCTCAGCCCCTAAGTGTCCCTCTTACACAAAACCACATTGGGTAGAAAAAAATGGAATCAGGAGTCAGAAACTTAGGCTCAGATTCACCTATGGGGTCTTGGCCAAGAAACCTTACATCTTTCCATCACAATTTCTTCATGTGTCAAAAGGACTATGTATCTGTTCTCCCTGTCTCACATGGTTGTTTTAAGGATAGGCTGAACTAAAAGGGTAGAGAATACTTAAGAAAACCTTAAAAATGGATGTGGAGGTACATGCCTGTAATCTCAGCTACTTTGAAGGCTGAGGCAGGAGGATTACAAGTTTGAGTTCAGCCTGGAAAACTTAGTGAGACCCTGTTTCTAGATAGATAGATAGATAGATAGATAGACAGACAGACAGACAGACAGACAGGGCTGGAGACACAGTTCTAGAGCACTTGTAGAGCACTTGTCTTGCATGCATGAGGTCTTGAATTTAATCACTGGTACTACAAGGAAGGGAAGGGAAAGGACGGAAGGGAAAGGAACCTAAGGGCTATAGGCAGTTATAAGGATAGCAAGAAGCCAGGCACACGCTTGTAATCCCAGCACTTGGGAGGCTGAGGCAGAAGGATCACTGGGAGTTCAAAGTCAGCCTGGACTACATAGTGAGTTCAAGGCCAGCCTGGACTACATAGCAAGATCCTGTCTCAAAAACAAACAAACAAAAAAAGATAGCAAGAGATAAGTTTCCTGTTCTAGATAATACATAACTGAATGGATATACACAACCTGAAATCAAAGAAAGGATCTAGAAAAGACCAGAGAAATCATCCAGTTCAAATTCCTGCTCAATGCAAAAATTATTTTTGCAAACTTTGCTTGAATACTTCCACTGGCTGAAAATATAGGCCTTTTAACATAATCTATTCTAGAGCTAGCAGCACCTGGCACATTCTACATACTCAAATTTTCTTATGAATGTCCAATTTTGGGGGGAAAGAAAACTTACTATCTCTCAACATACCTTTTTTTTTTTCAACATATCTTGATTAAAGATGTTTCTAATAATGAGTAAACAAAGTCCACCTTATTACATCTTCAACCACTGGACCTACTCCCATACTCTGGAAAAAACAAAGGACATAGCTACTCCTCTTTCCCAATGCCAGTCTTTCAAAGATCTATCCTAGGGGCTGGGGATTTAGCTCAGTGGTTTCACCACCTGCTGCTCAAGCTCAAGGACCCAAGTTCGATCCCCAGCACCAAAAAAAAAAAAAAGAAAGAAAGAAACAAAGATCTACCGTGACCTTATTAAATCAACAAAATAACAACAAAAAAAACCCTCTCTTGTTCCTGACTCCATCTTTCTGTTCCGTTTAAAAGGCTAACATTTCTAGATCTTTCATCCAGTATTCAAATAACATTGATGTGAAGACTTAAACCTGGTTGTCTTCTTTTAGATGACCCAGTTAGAGATATTCTTAATTAGCAGTATGCAAAACAAAACATGTATGTCCTCAGCAAAGCAGAGCACATTGGTGTTGTCACAGGCCATAAGGGAGATAGCACATTTCTATGAACATCTTCTAAATTATTCAGAATATGTCGGTAGCTGAGGCATACAACTAGTAATTTAGAGATTAAAATCAACTAAAATAATGCTGGGTTTATCATATGAGTCAGTATCCTTACCAATCTATATTTTAATAACTGATAATGTTAATCTAAATTAAGGGCTTTTCTCACTATTAAATTTTATTTGATTGGGCTGGGGATTTAGCTCAGTGGTTCCGCCGCCTGCCTTGCAAGTGCAAGGACCCGAGTTTGATCCCTGGTACCAAAAAAGAAAAAAAAAATTTTTTATTTGGTTGATTTCAGTTCATTGGTCAGCCACCTTGTGAAACGTGTGAGCCAAGCACTGTGAGACACTTTTAACTGATAAGAAATCATGAAAATAAAGTATTTGTTGATTCTTTCTAGTTACAAAGCAGTTCGTAGCAGAAGTGAAATCAGAAGAACTGTCTCCTATTTTTCCAACCAGAGCTCTCCACGATGTATCATGGATAATGACAACAATGTTAATGATGATAATCATCTTCAAAGCAAGCAACACTTACTGGAAGCTCACCATATGCAAGCACTGCTCCAAGAATTTCACATATATTAATCCTCACAACTCTATGAGGTATAGAGACTCTTATAATCCTTGTTTTACAAATGGGGTAAACTTAGGCAGTGAGAAGTCAGGTAACATGCCTGAGATCACACAGTTAAAGGCAGAGCTGGTATTCAAACCCAGATTGTTGGATGACATTACTTGTTTACTCCCTAGCACAAAGGGAGCTACCCAGGAATGACCCAGATATTTGGAGAGATCCCAAAAGACCTGTCCTGTCATTTATAAGTCATTGCCTCCCACGGACAAGGAAGAAAAAACTCTTAGCTGAGTTAACCTGCAGTTCCCAGCTTGTGGGACATACTTACCTCCACTGCTCTTCTGGTGAGAGTTCTGACATATCAACCTGTGGAGACACCACCAGAAAAATCCGTTATTATCTCAGAACTGCCCCTGCCCAATATAAGGTATTCACACATTCATCAATGCTTTTTGCATGCAAAATGTTTTATTGTTCTTTAAAAGGGTTCAGCGTTTGGTTTTAAATCAGGTTACACACCTTTTATCCAATCTGACATCTCTCACCATCTCAAACTGGCTTCAGCTAGCAATATTTCATTAAATCCAAATGAAAAAATTATTTTGAGGAGGGAAAAAATCTACTTCTGGAACAATTAACATTAGTCTGTACTTTAAGATAAAATGGGGGCTAATGTTTCATGTTGCTTTATATACCCTTCTCTTCACAAGGAACCAGGAATGTAATTCTCCTAAATCAGATAGGCACTGATACTGATGGGACAATAAGGACATATGCACACACACACATGTACAAATGTACAAATTCTTCCACACAACAAAATCCAGAGCACTTCAAATAGAAAAGGTTTGTGACAGCATTAATCAAAACTCTTGGCATTGGCTGGGATTTAGCTCAGTGGTTCCGGTGCCTGCCTCGCAAGCGCAAGGTCCCAAGTTCGATTCCTGGTACCAAAAAAGGTCTACTTTTTTGTTTTTGGTACCGGGGATCGAACTCGGGACCTTGCGCTTGCGAGGCAGGTAGTGGAACCACTGAGCTAAATCCCCGGCTCCTAAAAAGCATTATATTGTTTTCCTTCCTGGGATGAGGGAGGAAAGAATGTACAGGTTTGCATTTAGCTAAAAAGTCAAAGTAACTCCGGCAATAAGAAATAGGTAGTTCACACAGCCAGCCGACATTGTTAGTACCACACAAGGCCCAGTCACACCCACTGGCCCAGCCGACGCTCACTAAACGGGACACTTATGGCTCTGCACAGTGAATTCCAGCAGGACACGATGACTCTGAGCCTGTATTCAAAGACTTAAAAGCAGGGTACTATTAAGCATGTAATAGAGAGTACAAGAGCCCTGAGAGTACCCTCCTCTTCCTCTGTTAATACAGTCTGTTTATAACTGCCTTCCACAAATGAGGAGATAAACAGCACACTACACACAGCAGAGAATCTGCAAAAAATGCTACTACACCATTTCACAAACAACACAGTCCCTTTGCTCCTCATTGGGTTGCTTGATGTCTCTTCTACCCTGTTATAGCCTGTCAGTGCAAACATACTCGGTACTGCTGCTTCTGAACCACTGTTTCTTTTTTTTTTTTAAATCTAAAAAAAGAACCTGGTAAAAAAGTAACAAGGCAATCAGTGGTTAAACTGAACTGTACATATACAGAGCAGTTCAAAAAATAACCACCGCAGGCATTTCCCAAGACCAAAATATTGTGAATTTGCTATTGCTCCTTTGACCATTTCTTTCTTTCTTTCTTTTTCTTTGGTACCAGAGATCGAACTCAGGACCTTGCGCTTGCGAGGCAGGCAGCAGAACCACTGAGCTAAATCCCCAGCCCTCCTTTGACCATTTCCGAAAATTCAGAATATAAATATGTTCTAAAATAAAAATTTTAAGCTATCGGCATTCTCTGACATCACTAGAGAATCAGAGTTCTGCTACAGCCCCACAATTTTATAATTTGTACAAAGTGTGCTAATTCTCTGCCTGGATATATTTTTAGTGATAGCCTAGAGTCAGACTGCAGAAAACAAGTTTCTGCAATACTCACTTTGCTTCCCTGGTGGGGAAAGAGAACTCTCAGCTAAGTTCTTTAAGGAGAAAGACTTATCTTCAAATGCCATTTCCGCACTAATTTACCTAAAGGCTCTTGGTTATTTTGCCTAATGTTCAATCAGGACTTTGAGGAAAAGAAACTAATTTGAACACCCCATTATCAGTAAAGACTAAAAACAACCTGGATCATTACATACGTATATTTAAAATCATTTTATATATATATATATATTTTTTTTTTTTTTAATATAACTATAGAGAGAATCATTATATATGTTTTTCCTAAAAGTGCCTAGGGGAGCTTAAGGCTACCAGACTGTACACAAATCTACAGCAAGATTTCTATTTCATCTACAATGTGTATCAGGAAAGGGAGGGGGCGGGAGAAAGAAGAAAAGAGAGAAAATATACACTTCCCCCTAAAAATTATCCCATCACAGAGAGATATATGTTCCAAGCATAAAGGAAGAGTGTACTCCCCAAACAGATGCTTATGCACAGGCTAATATTCTGCTAATTTTCACTAGTGACCTATCCTGGAAAACTTTAAAGAAGATTTTGAAATAATTCAATCCTGGCAAAAATTAAAATTCCAAAATTAGAAGCAAAATTATCTTTCACTGAATCTTTTTCTTTTCTTAAACATTTTATTCATGTTGTTGAGGAATTTGTTTGCTTTTTTCCAATCAGTCAGAGAGTGGTTGAGGAGGACTGAATCCATCATCATTACTTTGATGACACAAGATTTCAGATTCACATTTCCAAGTACGAAAAGTTCTAACTGTAAGTAAGCATTTGTTTATATTTCTTTTTACTGAATACAGCAACGCCCAATGGTATCTCTGAAGTGTAATCTCATCTTAGGTTGGTATTTCTCCAAGTAAAGCAGCTGCTTAGAATTGAATGCTCCCCTTCTTTTTTGTCTTCTGAACTTAACTGCATTCCACATTCAATTAAAGCAAGTGCAACCAATACAGGTTCCTTTCACAACCCTGAAACACAGCAACCCTGTTTTTAGCAGGTTTAGCCAATCATTTACTACTGTATATGACAGGGGCTGGCACTCCATCGTCAAATGGCCAGTCTAGAATGCAGACTCCTTCTTTTTCAGCTGGAACTTCATCATTTGTAGCATCACAAACTCTAACAAAATTTGTCACTCCTATTTGTCTGGCATAGCTATTCAGTATAAAGAGGTTCTTCCATGTCAATGGTCCATCCCTTTTGCCATTACATGGCTGCACAATTTGTCTATCCATGGACTAGTAGATGGAAAACTGCCAGTTTTGGCATTATGAATAAAGCTTCAATAAACATTATACAGAAAAAATATGCTTACTTTTTTTCCATTTTTTTAAAAAAGCCAACTATTTATTTTTTCATGACGTTTAGCTTTTGCATTTTAAAAACTTTTTTTGGTTGGTGTTTTTTTGTTTCGGTTTTTGGTTTTTTGAGACAGGGTCTTGCTATGTTGCCCAGGTTAGCCTTCAACTCACTGTGTAGTCCAGGCTGGCCTTAAACTCTTAACAATCTTCCTGCCTCAGCCTCCCAAGTGCTGGGATTTTAAAAACTTTTTATTAGGATATGTTTGCAGTACATGTTTATATTCCTTGTGTGGAGTTGTTACATGTATATAACACATCCTAAATTCCTTTTTACACTTCCTTTCCCTCCACTCCCTTTCTTCCTCCCTATTGTAGTCAGAGTTTTTGGCAAGGGAATACATTTAATACAGGACACATAATTTATAAATTATTTTATGATATTTACCCAAAAAGTCAAATATGGAGGAGTTCAAGAGGTTAGCCACACACTAGAAGCCTGAAGAATCCAGCCAAGGGCCTGGATCTCACAGCAATATCCCATACAAGTCCAGCTAAAGGCCTCGAGTCCAAGGCAATGTCCTCCATGAATCCAGCCAGTGGCCTAGAGCCCACGGCAATGTCTCATGCTTGTGTGTATTAAGGATCTGCACCAGGAACGCCCAAAGACCGGTGGTGGAAACCAGAAAACCTACAACAGTGGGGTGAAGGATCTGTGCCACCAGGCTGAGGGATTTACATTGGAGCCAGGAAATGATGCTCACGGTGAAGATGAGAGCTCCCTGACCAGAACAGCAGCTGTTCCCAGAGACAGTGAGGCCCCAGCTCCTCCTCCTCCGAGAACGGCCAAGTTTGCATCAGGAAAACCATCCACAACAAGCTTCTCCTAGAAAACCAACAGCCCACGATCTTCCCCTCCAGTTCTCCTTTTATGGCTATTGGCAACAATCCTCAGGTAGGTCTTTCACGATGATTCAGTTCAGCTGGGTGTTACAAGTTGACCATTAGTTAATTCACCACACTCCCTCTCTCTATATATATATTGTTTTGGTACCGGGGATCGAATTCAGGTCCTTGCGCTTGTGCAGCAGGTGGCAAAACCACTGAACTAAATCCCCGGCCCATCTCCCTCTATCTCTTGATTCCCTTTCAAACTGAGAAAGATCTATCTCCCTACTTTCTATTATATAACTTTGTTTTGCTCTTTACAATTTGGGTTTCTCATATACAAGAAATCATATGATATTTAAGCTTGTGTGTCTGATTTACTTCATTTAACATTATGGTCTCGAGGTGCATCCATTTTCCTACAAATGACTCAACTTTATCTTTCTTATGGCAGAATAGTACTCCATTCATATAAATACCACATTTTCTTTATTCATTCATCTGTTGCTGGATATATGGGCTGCTTCCTAGATTTAGCTATTATGAATTGTTCTGCTATAAAAATGGGTATGCATGTATCACTATAATGTTATGTCTTTAACTCTTTTGGGAAGATAGGTAGGAGGGAAATAGTAGGGTCAACTGGAATTTCTAGTTTTAGTATTTTGAGAAATCTCCAAATTTCCATTGTGGCTGTACTAGTTTACATTCACACCAGCAATGTAGAAGGGCCCACCCTACATTCTTTCTGAGCAGTGGGATCTCAGTGTTGTTTAAATTTGCATTTCTCTAAGGGCGAACAATGTTGAACATTTCTTCAAATATTTATTGGTCATTTGTACTTCTGTGAAGTATCTATTTCACTTGCCCATTTTTTGATTGGGTCTTTTATTTCAGGGGATCTAATTTTTTTGAGTGCTTTATATATTCTAGATATTAGTCCTCTAGGGAAATAGCCAGCAAAAATTTTTCCCATTCTGTAGATTGTCTTTTCACTCTGTCGGTTGTTTCTTTTGCTGTGCAGAAGCCTTTCTATGATCCCATTTGCTGATTCTTGGTACTATTTTCTGTGCAACTGGAAGGACTTTAGAAAGTC